CAGCAACGAGGAGCCCGAGATGGAACATGCGTGGCTTGGAACATGCGTGGCAACGAACAGGACCTGTTCTACCAGCCTGCATGCGCGGGTTTGTTGGGGTGTCGGCCAAAAAGGATCAAAAAGGACAGTTTGATTTTGATATATTTTGATAGTTTGGTGGATTTGGAGCCGTTTGTCATTAAGCATGAGATATTTCCAACCCACTGCAGGTTTAACCAGTCTTCTTACTCGGCAGGGTGCTGTAGATACATTGTGCCGACTGCGTGCACTGGGAATGGCGCACCCAATATTGGCAGATGTGTAGTAGGGTTTGGGGGTTGGCCAACAAACCCTGATTGAGTTGAATCTCTTTGGCCGACAAACATGAAGAGATGTTTCTGGGAGCAGGCCATCATTGTCGAGACAGCCTTTTGTCAAGGAATGCGTCTTCGGACTGTTTCGCCAGAAAGACAAGCAACAACAAGAACTAGACTGCTTCCAGCCCGCTCTTCGGTGCAAATGAACAAAGAGAGTTTTTGCTGCCAAAAGACACCACAGATTTGAGCTGTTTTAATCTGAATGAGTACTTTCACCACTCTTTTCATGTTGATTTAGTGAAAACATGTGTTTTGTTGGACATCCATGAAAAGGGCCACCTCAAAAGTGTTTGTTCTTTCTTCACTTCTTCACTCTGAATGAGCACCTGACCACCTGACCTACTTCGTTCTCCACACCCGTCGACCATCCGGACTCCGGACGAGTTCCCAGTCCGAAATCGTCTGGTCGATTCGAATCCGTTTTCGCGCCCAGTCGTCCCAGTCGTCCCAGGTCGTCCGTCGATGTGGCGGTCGTCCCAGATCGTCCGTCGATGTCCGAAGCCTCCGGCGACACCGAGGCTTTCCTCCTTCGTCCCGTTGAGCCTCTTCGAGAGGACGACACGTTCGAAGCGCCGAGTCGGGCCGGGCGGCGGGGGAGCGGAGACAACGGGGGAAGGCTGTGGAGAAGGCGGAGTCGGAGACAGCTGAGTCGGGCGGGAGAACACGGGCACCGTATTAGTTAGGCTGCCCTGAAAAGAAAAGGGTGGACTGAAAAAACACTGCCTACATTCTTTGACACGGAGTTTGTTCAGTGTAGCTATACAAATGTGTTTGTCATTCGTAGAAAAAAAAACTCGCCTCAATTTGTCTTATTGTTTGCCCCACAAGCCATTAAAGACCTGGTTTTCCCGAGCAACAAACAAGGTTTTTCTATGTGAACACCTACCTCTATTTTTCATGGGTTTGAGGGCCACTGGTAGCTGATTCTTCTATGTTTGTCTTCTCTTCACAGGTCATTCATCGCAGTTTGTTGTGGGACCTCCCACAGATCTCTACCCGACACCCGGGGCTTTTCGCCGCGAGGAAGCCGCCGGAAACATGGACCAACCAGGCGCCGTGGACTCAAAGGCTAAGACAGGTGGACCAAGTTCAGTTGGGTTGGGGAGATGACATGATATGATATGACCAGTAGTAGTTCCAGTAGTGTTTAATGATGTATACGTTACGATAGTGTATGTATATATTACCATCATGGAGCCTAAGCTTAAAGGCACAGCCCTTCAGTTCTTGACCCATGTAGAATGGCAGAAGATGAAGCATTTGCATTCCATTCGCGTAAGATCTATGTGAGAACCATTCAGTTGTGTTTTGGTTTGACTAGACTGGGCTTCCAGGAAGGTGTCCACAGTGGGAGTTTCACATCTTTCATGCTGGGTGAACCGTTTTCCCTATCGGTTGTCCCAAACTTCGGGCAAACAAATTCCAAGTCCACACTTCTAAAGCAGCAAGTTGTTTCATATCACCAAGGATTTCTTGGTGACTCTGTTCTTTGCCACAGATCCCGAAACTGTGAATGATTCGATCATTCGGAACAATGACCGCACCGTCCAGATGCACCTGTCGCAGACCAAGATAGACACCTCAAAATTAGGTTAACTTGACCCGAATCCCATGAATACTCCGACTCACATTCCATGGAAGTGGACGGCCTGGCTATTGGGGGAAGACCCTTTTCTTCTACATGCACACTATACCGCTTGTGTGCCGTCCCAGTCAACCCCTTGCGGTGTTCACTCCGCCCATCGAGTCCGTCCGATTCAGGGGCGACGCAGTCGGAAGAGTTCCGCTAAGCCGAGGCGGGGTTTGGGGGCCATTCACGAGTTCACAGGGGACCTCTTGTCTTAGGGAGCACGATAGGGAACACAAGAGAAACTTGAAAGCTCAAAAGGAGTTGGTGTAGATCATCGGTAGCACTCTTGGCGAACCAATCCCAAGTGGTTGTGTGCGTGTTCTTTTTTTGTGTGTTTTTTTCCTGGAGCCCTGAACACTGTTGTCCTATTTGTTTTGAGGTGCGCCCGCGAAAAGATAATCCAGTTGATGGTTTTTGCTTGCTCAGGTCTTGGAGAGACACTGTTCAAAAAAATCAAACAATACGAGACACAAAAGCAATGGAATCATCTTAACAAAGTTGCTTGCTGGGCCTGCAAGACGATTGATTGTGTGTCTCAATGCCGAATATCAAGCTGCAAAACCCAGCCATCAGAGGTAGGGAGTGCAAGCAATCAGTAATCAAACCCGGATGGCTGGACAGCCACAACAACCCTAATCACCAGAACTGCCTTCACCTAGATGAACATCTGGAGTGCGCTGGGTTCTTCTTATACACCCAAAGAAAAGTTGACCCTAGCAAGCCCCTCCCCCCTTGTACAAACATGTACAAACATGTACAAACTAAAGTAAACCTGGACTATGATGGACTTGCTTTCTGTGAAGATTTCTTTGAGGATTTGAGTGGGTGAAAACTTGCCCCTGGTGGCAAATGTCTCGAAGGGCCTCCAACTTTGCCAGAACTCAACAGGTTGGTTGAGGAGTGGTATTGAAGGATTGTGTGCTCATATGTTGGATTTCTGTAGACATCTACCTATCCACCCTGCAAAAACCAAAGGCCAAAACCTGAAAAACTGCGCCGTCACTTAGATACCAAACGCCAAACTGACGCCATCACTGAATAATGAAACATAGACTCCGCGCCAAACCGCACCCAAAAGCACGATCCCAAAACGACACCAAACGACGCTGAATTTGTATGTTTGGGTTTGTGATAGCATTGGGCCTCAGGTCTTGTCAGATATTGAGGGTGTGAGACATATTAAGTCGTCATCACTTCTTGGTCGGGTTCGTTGGTTGGTGATTTCTGTTTCAACCTCAGAGAAGCTTGCTCAAGGAAGTCTTATAGTATAATACGGTACGCTGTAGTCTCTAGGGCCATGACAGAACTTCAAAGCCGTATGTGGAGTTGCACACATCCCTTGATGAAGCTTTGGAGGGCTATGAAGAGGAACCACTTTCAGTTTGAGATGCCCACAAATGCTCAGGAGCTTGAAGCCCCCGTTGAAGGTCCCTTATCAGGCAAGAACACGTTGCACTTCGAGTTAGCCCTCATCCTTTAGTTTTTGTGCTTTAGATGCAGGGGTTTGAGGCTGCTTCTAAATTTGAAGTAGCTGGGAGATCTACGCTTCCCTTTGAGAGTTCATTTTTGAGAGATGTACCCACATAGGCCCTGAACTTGTGGACTTGAGTGACTCTCTAAAACTGACTCCACTTGAAGAGTTCCGAGCAGGGTAGACCGTTTTGGGGATGGAAGAGTTCTTCAGATTGGAACATCTGGGGGCTCCACAGCGGGGCCCACTGAGGGGGTCATGGATCGGATCATATGGGTCATTTGGTGTGCATGTGGTTGTTGCTGGAGATGTGTGGCCTGCATTTGTGGGCCATGGGCTTTGACGATAGGGTTTGAGCACACGGATGACCCTGCATTGTAGTCAATTTGCCATGCCGAAGCGAACAACACATTTCTGCCTGGCCTTTGGGGCTCTACATAGCATGCAGATGCAGGTGCACACAGGAACAACGTCTTTGTGCGTTTGGCTTTTTCTTCCAACCGTGGATGCTACCGCTAAATGATCTGAATATATGATAGATGGTCCAGTATTTCAGGTAAAACTGTGATCATATGTGAGCATCCTACATCTCCGTTATTTGACCAACCATAGTGGTGGCATGCTGAAGCGGCTGTGACATGCTGAAGAAACCGTCCCTGTACCAAAGAAAAGAACAGCCAAACCCTAGGCCCTCGGCGGCCTTGGGCGGTGCCAACCGCGGCTTGGGATGCCCAGGAAATCAGACGACGATGGGATGTCCAGCACGCCGAAGTGGCGAACATATGCGAAAATGTCCATCATCCTTGTAAATCCTCCGTTCGTAGCGATGCCAGGAGCCCCTAGTAGCGTCCTTGCTCCTAGTAGTACGGCCAGGAGCCCCTAGTAGCTTCTTGTTCCTAGTCGCGATCCTTGTATATCCCTTAAATTTATATTCCAGACACAACCCGTTTGGGACTGCCATATTTGCCTACATTTACCCCCCAAACCACCCCAATGTAGGCATATACTATATGGTATACATGGTGTGTTTGGGTAATAGGGAAGTTTTTTCAACCGTCTACATATGACTCTTCCATCTTCTATTTTTCTTGGAGGTCATGAGAGGCATACGACAGCCTGGGCAGTCGTTGATTCCTGGCTGCTGCCATCGCATGCCATCGCGACGTTTCCCTTCTTTTGATTGGCTCTTGCTCATGTGGGGGTCCTCATTTTGGCAGAATTCAGTTCGACGCACATCTATATTGTTTAGTATTACTTATAGTTATTTATGTGGTGCTGTGCGATGGCATCACAATTTAAGAACTGTAGCAATGGTCTATGTATATGTCCATATTATAGTAGGGAGAGCGACACGGCAAGCATGGATAAGTAGCCAACCAATGTATCCATGAAACACCATCACACCAAGATTTGGTCAACCCAGAAGTTGTTAAAGTCCAGACAATTCAGCAGAGGAGTCAGCAGTCCTCCCATGTTCAAAATGCGGAAATACGACATCATTTTGTCCTTCATGTTCACGATCTATCTATCTGTCTTCGGTCGCCATCCACCCATCCACCGCACCGACTACTAGCGGAACGATCCACGGAAGCTCCGGAGCTCTGGAGCGAGAAGTCTCCCAGGCCGTTGGCTAGCGAGTTTCAACCGCTACTTGCCACTTGGATGAACCGCTCTCTCTGTGGGCCAAACTGCTGCTTTCGGCTGCAGCCCTGCGAAGCAAGAGATATGGATTTTCTTTGGACAGTTGAAGCAGCACGAATGGAATTCCGATTTCACAACGGTTTTAGGCGGACTTTTGATAGACCGCCTTATGGACGAAGATCGATACATGAGAAGCCCAGGTATCATGAGTCAGTATCATGGCTCCAGACTCAAGCTCCAGGTCCGAAAAGGCCATCACCAACCCGATCTTCACCCCGTTTTTGGAGACTCAATTGACATGTTCTCCGACCCAGGAAACGTGGGATTTCCCCCTGCCCCCCTGCCGCCCCACCTGGGACTTTCGGATTGATTTCCGACAATTCCGGTGAAGCCTTTTCCAGGGTTTCATGCCTCGGGAGTCAGTTGGAGAACTGAGACAGTGAGCTGATATAGTTGGGTTCCCCATTTGCGTGGCCAAATTCCTCAGGTACGATGGCGAGATCCACTCAGATGATATTCCACGCGCTCTGTTGCACTGTGGCTTTGAGGAGCAGATTGAACGGAAATGAACAAGGGCTATGAAAGACATTGGTCAACACATGTCCAAACAGTTAACGTATTTAAACATCCCAGACACTCCATGTATGGAATATATGCCTACATTGACCCCCCCAAACCACCCCAATGTAGGCATATATGACATACATGGAGCGTTTGGGCATTGTCAAACCTCTAAATCACATGCCCAGTATGTTAATTCATTATTTAAGGGGTATCTACGCAGGGTAATACGTGGTGTATATGGGGTTGTGATCTCACATGCCACACGGTCTTCTGCGGGTCAAAGCCAGGACTGGACTGGAGTTGGGGATTTGACCTATAGGCCTCACCAGGGGAAACCATCAAAGACCTGCTTTTTCCCTAGCAAACAAACATATGGTGTTTTTAACTGTTTCTTCATGGGACACCTGGGTCACTGGCAATAGATTGCGATACATCCCTCGCAAAAGGGGATCATTTTGCTTCGAAGGAACGTTTTTGGTAACCCAACTGGCCCAACTCGGAAACGGAAGAACACCTGCGATCCTATCAAGTCCTGTTCTTTTCCATCGCGCCGTTCTTGTCCATATGTTGACAACTCAGCACTACCCTGTTAGGATCCCTAAGGATCCACCTTCGAGAAGGCCAACTGGACTCCAGGGTCTTCAGAAAAAAATACAGTAACAGTCACCATTTGGGTGGACAATTGGGGTCCATAGGTGTCCGTATAACTGATTGGATTGGATAAGTTATCATGGAATTCATCAAAAAAACAGGGGTCTATATCCCCAAACACTCCATGTATGCCATATTATGCCTACATTGATCCCACACCCAAATGTAGGCAAATATGGCATACATGGAGTGTCTGGTATCGGTCACCTCGGTGAAGCTTCAGACGAAGGCACCCGTGTCCGAGCGCGAACAACCAGGACACCCGACCGCGCTTGGTCGCATCGGCGCTGCAAAAGGTGGCGGCGCCTCCGGCAGTTTGAGAGGTGTGTTTTGTCGTGTGGTTTGGCTTTAAGAACTATATATAGTAAGCTTAAGGCAAGCGTCGTCTTTTGAAGTTAGTTTGATGAGTGAATTGCATGATATACACTGCAGAGTAGCTGTTTGATGTTTTTTTTGGGGGTGAGGAAGGGTGCTTTGGTCTTTGTCATACGCGCGGCCTATTCAGGAGTACAACACACTGGATGAGGACGAATTCCTTCACTTCATGTGCGAGTTGCTTGTCTCAGTATTTATACCTGTTAGAAGTCCTGGGTTTGAAGGCTGGCCATTCTGAAAGATCATGAACCCCTTCAACGCCTTCAACATGACAGCACATCACAAGAAAGCGTTTGCCCCAGCACTCACCGACCCATTTTGTTGGACCAACGTATGCACAACTTACGGCAGATTCCTTGTGTTTCTTGCCGCACAGACCAAAATGCGACCGGCGACCCAAGAAGAATTCGGTTGGTCGCTGAGATCCCATGCGCTTGACACGTGAATGGATGAAATAATGCACACGTTGGTAGAAGGCAGCACGTACTTAACTTCTTGGCTTGCACGTAATGGGGCAAGCCATGGAGGCCTATGATCCATTTCCTTTCCATTTGTTCGAGACATTTCTGGGGATTTTTGGTCCTCTCTCTGAGAACCGGGAGAGCTGATTGACTGGTGCACTCGGGTGCCTAGGTGACCTCAGGTTCCAAGCCCCAACGCCCCCCAAGCCCCAAGCAGACCCTCCGACCGGAACTGGGAGGGAACCTTCAACGTTGTTCACCCATCGTGAAGAATGTCTTAACATATTGCTTTAACCTTCCCAGTGACCTTTTTGGAGTCCCTAAGTGACCTTTTACAAGCCTTTTTTGTGACCTCAAACCAGGGGATCAAAAGGTCACTGGGAAGATCCAGGATATTGCTTCAAGCGAACTAAACCAACAACTTATTCCATGTTTATGTTCGATCCGAACTTTGCTTCGTAGTCGACGCATGGATTGAGTTGTACGTTTCGCACCTGCCAGCTGGATGTGGGATGTGCTTTCGGAACCCTTCCCTTTATGGCATTAAGCACCGCCAGGCATACATGGCGCATGGCTCATTGGTCTCGATTTGTGAAAGACCTGAGGTATGAAGAGGAGCTGAAAGAGGATGCATTTCAGCATTTCCAGAAGTACATGGCGGATGGTCACTTGGCTTCCTACAAAGATAACACTTGGAGGGCCAAGAGTGCAAATTACTATATTTTTGAACTGTTTTGTGTTGTTCTTTCCTGGCACTGGGCCTTTGGTCCCACATCAAGTGAGTCATTCATATAGATTCTATCCTGGTTCATTGCGAGATTCGTTGCTCATAGCTACATGTTTCTGGCAATTTTCCTCTACAACCCAGTGGTTGTTAGGTTCCATGTTAATTTCCCCGGGTACCTATTTAATATGTTGGCCTTTTGCTTGGTTTTATAAAGGCAGGCATGGCAGACATAGTTGGAAGATCGATCGGTATTTCCAGGTGTTTGAAGGGCTGGGTGGGTGTGGCCCCCCCTTCCAGCCTTGGCTGGGTGGACGATCTATTTCCCCAAACCGAATCCAGGAGGTCCGAACTGGACAGTCAGATGGTTTCTAAATAGATGCTTTCTTGAGGCTCCAGCATTCCAAGGAAGTTGTTCAGCCAGCAACAGCCCAGATCTTGAGAGCGTCAGTTTTTCTTGGCCTCGCCTCTGAGGTCGCCTTCCCTTCTCTTCACTGCCAAGCATTCTGAAAGAGATGGACTGCAACGCTTGTTCTGGGTAAGATTGAACAATGCAGGGAGTGGCAGGAGTGTAGGAGGAGCATAGTCTAGTCGAGATTCTTCGCGTAAGGAGGGAAGACAAGATCCAACACTGGCTGGGTTGACGCAATTGGACAAGGACACGCCTGAACGTGGCAGATGTTTCAGTCTTTCTGGCTGGCTTGAGCTTTGTTGAGGAATGACGCCCATGCATGAGGAACTTGGTATCATACTATCTCACTTTGACATCAGACATGTTTACATGAAATTACATTTCTAAAACATAATCAAACTGTTTTTTTCTGTTTTGCAGTCTCATTCTGAACATTTCCCAACCAACTGCCCATGGTGCTCTTTTTTTTGGTGTGTTTTTAATAAATATATCCAAGCTTCCCCATCCACATTCAAGCACCACTGTCCGGGAGAATGCAGCATCCCCCCTTCCCAAGCTGGGAGTCCCACCAGTTTCAACGAAACACCTGCAGATCGATGGGTACGTGAAAGCTCGCTTTGCAAAAGGCTTTGCCTTTGTCATTCTTTACCCCAAAATGTGGGATTCCACACAAGTGGCCGTCTACAGGAGCTCCAGCCTTGTCGCCGTGTCCTCACTCAACTGACAGAAGAGGCGCTGTTCGGCTCACGGTGGAACTCGATACATGGGCTGTGTGTGGGATTTGGTTTCAACATCGGAAGCCTTAGGCCTGTCTACCTTGGAAACCAAGGGCCATGGGGCGAATCCCAGAAACCAACCACATATGAAAAACAACTGAAACATCGTAAACTAATCCGGCTCGAGGAAGAGCCGGATTCGCTCGCATGCGGTGTACTAGGAAGGAACTCCGGAAATTGGAGGTTTCACAGAAATGGAACCTGGGTTCACTGAGTGAGCTTGCCTTTGGTGCTTCAGGTGATGCATAGTTCCGTGAGTGTTGAACTCATTGTGTGAAGTGTGAAGTGTTACACTTCTTGTTCAAGCCATGATTGAAGTGTAATTGGGCAGCTATACATAACAATATATCATAATATGGAAGAAGTTAAGTTAAGGTAGCACTCATGGAAATCAATTTATGTCGCATTCTTTCGAGAGCAAAGACGGGCAGGGTGGCTCTATTGTTGACTTTGCGCGCATTTTGATCGGCGTGAGCATTGATCGATGTGAGAGTGGAAACGTGAAGTGCGTGAAGTCCCTGCTCTGTTCAATCCGATCCAAAGGTCCAATGGACCGGCTGCGACAAACCACCGCCGTGGAAGACATACTGTATCTTTACTTTACGGCGGTGGAGCTCGTCCAAGAGCCTGCGATGTGGACCACATGTGCGCGACATAGCGTGACAAACTAGTTCCCTTTGGTTTGGCCTCGCTTCCAAGAAACAAGCAGTTAAGCATATATTAGGTATTATATTATATATATAGCTAGTGTATATGTATATATGTGTCATTTTTGCAAGTCCAAGTTGGACTGAGAAACCTTCGGCTTTTCATTCCGACGTCTCTCAGGTGATGGGTGAGCCCCGAGGCCGTCGACATTCACGGACGGCTCGGGCGAGTGGTGATTTGGCAGTTGATGAAGATTGATGAGTGATGAGTCACATATACATACATGACCTAGAACCCATTTGACCTTTGTTTTGATATGAAAAGACCATGTTTTGGCTCCCAAACAGGGGTCAATCAGGTTCAATTATATCCCACCAGTGAATGGTTTGAGGTTTGCAACCAAATCCGTTGCGTATGATCTGGGGTTCCAAGATCATGTTTCATCAGAGGGGTGGTTTTAGGAGGCTGGTGTGGCTAGAGGTTTTCAGCGGAGATAGACATGGGGAAGACTCGCTAATCTGGAGCTCATGAATAGTCCCATGTTCTTTGGGAAGTCGATCATCGTGAACTTCCACGGGATTTCTGAGAGGCACGAAAAATGCTAATTACGGTGTTTCATATCCCAACAGTCCAGCAGTCCCGCAATGAAACATGTCATGACTTGGTTGTGTGGACATACCCAGACACAACCCATATGGGACTCTTATAACTTATATAATATATTATAATACACATTGGGACGGTTGAAAAGGGGTCAACATGGGTACAAACTCATTGCTGAGTCATAGAAACAAATTAGACACAACACGTCTAATTAATAAGTTTGTAGACTCTTGGTGAATCATACCCCTCCCCAAACATGGCTTGTAATACCTTTGTCATGATGGTGTCGGTTTTGTCACAGCAGTGTGTTTCGTCTGACCGTCGGCGTTCTCGGCGTTCTCGTTCTCGGCTTTGCGGTCCTCCTGAGGGTTTTTTTAGAGACACCAGGAGAGTGTCATTTTTTGTTCGAGTCCTTTTTGCAGTCATTTGATTCCAACAAGTCAGCCAACAAAAACACCAGTGCTATAGGCTATAGTCATACAAAGTGTGACACTTGCATAAAGAGAGTCCCGTTGTGGATGCCAGTTATCACTACCCTGGCAAGTCAACGGCTATCAGAACGATGTTCATTTCCTTTACTTCGGTCGGTCAAAATATCGTCGAACTGGACAGTCGAACTCGGCGATTTGTGATTTCCATATCGCGGACACTCCATGTATATATATATATGTGCATATATATGCCTACATTGACACCCAAAACCACCCCAATTGATCGGCAAAAAAAAACAGACATGGATTGTCTGGGTATGTGGAATCGATTTGACGACCTTTGCTGGTCAGAGTCATCAACGACCTTTGGACACCCAACGACCTTTGGGTGAAAGGTGGGAGCCTGGTGTTTTCACGACCCAATGGGACTGGCAGTCGGACGACTCCGTCTCTCGGCAGTAGAGCGTGTTTGTTGCTGTTTTTTTTTTTTTTCAGCGGGTCCACGACGGTAAATATGCCAGTCCCATGGAGTGTTAGGGTTAACTTATATTTATATCGTCTTATTTGGCCGCTGTTGAAGTTTTGGTGGATAAGAGATGTATTCGAGGGGACACTGTAGCCGTTGTTTGTTTATGGGTGGTTTTTAGATGTGTTTGGTACAGGCATTTATCATTCAACTGTTGTGCTCCTTTTTTCTCGTTGGTTCGTTGTTTGTCCAGCCTGCTGTTGGAAACCTCCTCTTCACCTGATTTCCCGACTTCGCCACAACATGGGAGACACCATTAACCGTTTAAGATCCTAGGTAGTAGGTTAGTAGGTTTCATGTGGGTGTTCCAGAATGGTTTTTTGGTTTATATAGAGATCCCCTATCGACCCTATAACTGATGAGGTCTGAGACGTCCTTCAGTGAAACGGCTTCAGTGAAACGGCCTTCAGACCAGCCGAGATCGGTATGTCCGTCGAGAAGCGGCGCCAGGCTTGACGCTGCCAGAGTTCGAAAGGACCTTAGAGTTGCTCCGTGCACGTGACCTGGCGAAGAACGCAGCCGGCTTAAACATCGGTTGCTTGGTCAAGTGCCTAAACTCTATGCCTAAACCATTGCTGGAATGTGTGTATGACATATGTAGACATATGTAGATGGTTGATTCATATTTAAAAACAAAGAAAATCGTGAAGAGGCTTGATCATCATGGTCGTTTTTGTTGGGGGTTATTCATCAACAGTCTACCCATTTGTGTCCAGCCAGGTGACCTACTTGTTGTTTCTAGCTGTGTCCAGCCAGGTGATCCCGAACGGAAGATCCCATGGTACACGGTGGTATAGCTGGGTGGTGGTTTCAGATGTTTGTAACTCTCAACCTTTATTTGGGATGCAAGCTACCAACCAGAGAGTTACAAACATCTGAAACCACCAAGTAAATGTCCGAGACGGGTTGAGATCCTTGGGGGTTGACGGGTCATGACGGTCGCCGTTTCTTTCAACGTGAGTGTCGGAGAAACAGGAGTGCTCATGGAGCCTGTGTACCCCTGGTATCCGGTCGTTGTCCTCGTTTCTCTAATCAATTGGGGGTTCCTGGTTTGGGACACCCATACCTTCAGCTTTGCACTTAATGCCGCAGCTGTAGAACTACTCCAATCCAAACCCTATGAAACAACATAAAACAACGGTTGCTCTTTTGTTGGGTTACCCACCGCTTTGCCCTGCTATCCTTTACTCAAGGAGCATCACAAGACCACAGATGTTTTGCTTCTTAACTTGCAGTGAAAAAGAAAAACATGTGCTCAGTTTTGGACCCCCCCAATGTGAGGCTGGGTCAGGTGTGGGCATGCATGTGTGCAGCTCAAGTGTTTTTTTTTTTCATCCGCTCTTTTGAGGCTACTGTTTTTTGCTGGAGGAGCTTGAACACTTCAAGAATGTCTTTCAGGCAGGTCAAATGCAAAAGAGGATCAAGAAGATTGAGTTTTTTCTTGCAGTTGAAACAGATTGACATATGTGTTGTTGGTGCATACAATGGAGTGATTGAGACTGAACAACTGCATGTTTTCACGTGGGTTTGGTCTTCCTCAGGCTTCCTTGATACTGGTGCTTTGAAACTGGCCAAAAAGGCATGACAAGTCATGATTCAGTCCAGGTTGTCACTTGATTAGCATCCTGTGATTTCTGTGTGGGAGGACGCCACAAGTGAGTGGCTTGGGACAGATTACAGCTGTGGGTTTAGGTGAGGCTTCCCACAGTTCGAGCTGTCGAGCTGTCAGCCACCCAAAACGTGGGGCTTTTCCGCGAATCAACGATCCAAACAAAGTTCTGGGATCCCACTCTTCAACTCTTCAACTGCAAGAGTGAACTAAAGGTCTGGCTTTAGTTTGCGACATGTTTCTTATTCATTTTCCCTGGTACTCTTCCTCCCCAAAGCCCCAAAAGAATACATCATAAATGGTATAAAAGTTGGTGCTGACTAGATCAACCTGCAGCTGTTTTCCACCACTTCTTCTCACCCAAAAGGGTGACAGAGACAGGTCCGACCGTCACATTCTCCACACCTCTGAAACCGCACCGATCCAAACCATGTCCACGTCCACACGTCCACGTCCGTCACCGAGGTCTTCGACCGCGACTGCTCGGGCGGCATGAGCCTGGCGGAGCTCTCCAGCGCCTTCGTGGCTCGGTGGCGCCTTCGTGGTGCCTTCGTGTTTTTTTTTTTTTTTCGGAATTGGAGGGTCTAAAGGTCTGGGTGTGTTCCGTTTGAAAGTCCCGTGTTCTGAAATGGGGGGGGGTCCCCGTGGCTGGGAACTGCATGGGTGTTGTGGAAAACGTCTTTCCACAGACTGACTGGTGCCACGACTGGTTCCCTGCAGAAGGTGTTCCCGGCTTCGGTGCGGAAGGAGTTGGAGCAAGCAGAGGGGGAGGATGGAATAAGTGGATGAAGATGGAAAGGAAAGAGGGGGAACCATGAGGGCATTTTCATGCAAGCCTTTTCTGAAAAAATGGGCGTCAGGGAGGAGAGGAGCATGTTTAACATGGGTCCAGATAAAACATCAAAAAGGCAGGCTTTGATCAGCTCAAACCCCTGATTTTGGATTTCTGACGCTGGTCGTTCGTATGACGATGTCCATATAGGAATTTCGATATCATGTCAGTGTCTATTTGGCGTTTCGAACCGGTAGTGACCCCAGGAATTTATATACATCACAAAATTAGATTGGACATGCATCGTTTAAAACATGTCTAAACTCTTGTACTGTGACTGTGCACTTCTTGTCAAGGGTACTCTCTGAAAGGGTTATCTATTTGACACTTGCATGTCGGGTCCAGTCGTGTCTTCGAAAGTGGATCCGTGGATCCCACAAGCAAGACCCACTCTCAGTCCATGTCATCATGTCTGCCGCACTTGCAGGCCCAGGATATCCGACATCGAACGGGTGGGCGGTTTTTTCGTAGCACTTCTTTCTTTTTTGCCGCCGGCCTTCGCTGCTGGTGCCATGGGAATCAGAGATTTCACGCTCTTGCCCACTGTCAAGCCGTACGAGCCATTACTTGTGGATGAGCATTTCATACCTGAGAAGCTCAGCTGCGCAGTCATGGAGGAGGCCTTTGGAACACGAATATTTCTTGTATAGTGTATATTGGTATATAGTCCTGTAGCCGCTACTATAGCCTTGAATTGCTATCCATACCAAGCCTTGCACGGCAAGCACGACCTCCCAAAGGGAAAAGGAACTTGGCTGGCCCATCTACAGGGAAAGAGATGAACTATTTTTTGGAGGGATTGCACATAGCTCTTGGGCTTTTGATGACTTGGGGAATTTTGACAAGGTCATGTGATAGCGTGTGGCTTCTTACCTATACCTTGTGAGCCTCTTCTCATGACAAGAGGTTTAGTGAGCTGTCCTGAGCGAAGTAAATGATTGGTCAGTCTGGAAAGACAAGACTTAAACAGTAAACAAATCCGCTATATCAACAACATGACAGGGGGTGTGGCTGAAACAGACATGAACCTGCTTGATATTGTTTCAGTCCAAATTTTTCAGAGTGAGAATGTTGGACCATGAAGCCATAGGCAGCCATAGGCATTTGAAGAAGGTATACCTGGCTATGCCTGTTCTTGCAGCACCACCTGGATCCTCCAGTTGAGAGGTCACGTTCGGTCTTTCTCTGCCATGTAGCCCACCAGATGGGTCGTGAAGAGCCTGAGCCCGACCAGTCCACCAATTGCTGCAAAAGACATTCTAGGTATAGGTCAACCGGTCGGCCATGGAAAATTTAGATTCATACATGACCCCCGAATGAGGTAAATACATAGGGTTTGGGTATTGGATCCTGCAATTCCTGTTAAGATTGCTGGCTCTTCCGTTCGTGAATTTGTTGTTAAAATGACCTGGTTGGTGCCAGACAGCTTAAAAAGACATGTGCTAGCCAAGCGTAAGATCCACAGACTTGAGCAGCAAGCCAGCCAGATCACCTGGGAGGCACAAATGCTTATGGGAATCCGCTCGATATTTATCATGCCTTTTTTTTCACCGTGCTGGCTCTAGATTCGATACACCCACCTTCACATACCTTCACATTCGATCATCATCTATATTCACCAAATCAAGCCACCTCCGAGACCATTCTCCATCCCCAAAAACACCTCCGAGACCGCCCCCCCCGCCGCCAAGGAGGCCCATTTCTTCCACCCGGTCGGATCCGGAGCTGGCCAAGTCGAGCGCGGCCTCCCACGGAGACTGCAGCGACGCGGCTCTGAGGGCCAAGTCGCACCCATCACCGCGGAGAAGCGACCTGCAACTGGAGACTAAGATCTCCAAGTGACGCTTGCGACGGCAGCATGGGGAGAAGATCCTCGAGGATTTCCCAGGGAATAAAAAGTTGGAATGACTCCCCGATATATATATATATATAGGGGCGGGTGTTTTCGTAGAGTCAGATGAGTGGAAAAGAAGAGGGTATGATTGGAGATGTGTCTTTGCTCTTGGGAACTTGTGGGATTTCATGTGCCTGAGTGCTGGACCAGGGGCGCCAGGTTGCGGAAAGGAAAGTAAGTGGTCGTTCCAAATGCACTGTTGCATCCATTTAAATGGTACCTACTAGGATTCCAGGACAGTTGCTCGGACTGCAGCAAGGGTGGACAAAGAGAACAACCGCCGGATACGCTCACGGTCATTTGGTCCGTATCCAAGTCCCACCCTTGTCGCCTACCTTGTCATGTTCTTCGAAGCTTAGACTTTTCCATCTGATCCGTCGGTGCGAAGTCGTGCAGATCCGTTGCCTGGTTGACCCACCGGGCCACGCAGGGTTGCTTGCCGGGTGTCACGACATGTCACGACTCGATGTCCAACCGCCGATCCCGCCCCCTCAACCGCTCTGTTCCAGCTTGTTGGTGTTACGGCCCTCAACTGGAACAGTGGAGACGGAAGCTCGTTGGAGCGTTACTCGTTATCTCCGAGGCACGTCTGGACCTGGGGACGCTTGGGGGTCATTTTGGACATAGCTGCAATTGGATAAGGATTCTTTTCTTTTAAAGGGGGAGGGGGGGGTAGGCCGACTAGCTATTGAGGAATAGCTAGTCGGAAGAGGTAGCTAGTAGCAGCTTTTTCGCGGGCGCAAGGAGGAGGTAGGCCGTGGACGTCGCTAGGTAGCTAGTACCTATACAAGTATAGCTATATACTACTGACAGGACGCAGGAGAGCTCGCGAAAATGTGAAGCAAGAATTAGTGTCACTATAGAGAGTTTCTCTTGTCCCACAAGGGTATCCTACAGTGTCAAACATGAGATATTCAGATATTCGATGATCCAACATTCGATATATTCAGCCTCGTGGGCTCCTTTGATTTTCCGCCGGAGCACTGCACTGCTGCAGACTCACTCCGCACTGCTGCGGGGCTCCGTCCGCCGAAAGAAAAAGCACGCAGGACTTCTTGAGCAAACATGGATTCAGCGAGGTGCGATGGGTGGGAACGTGCTTCGAAGATCTTCGATACGTACCAGCACCTTCAAAGGGGTCACCTGGCTGGTTTCACCCCAGCCCACTAAGGGACCTCCAGACAGGACACCCCGGAAGAAGGTTCAGGTCTGTTTTTCGTTTGTTTTCTTTCGCTGCGACGGTGGGTGAAAGGTGGTCGTACATGTCTTATACAGTCTAGACCAGTCTTGTCTGGGCGGTTGATGCGTAGAGTTTTCAGGCTGAGGATGAAGGGAATCGCCTCAATCGCCATGGTTCTACCCCTTCTCAGATGTGCTCGTCCTTTTTTGTGCCGACGTCACTCTCTGAAAAGCGGGACACCGCGCGACACATCGAAACATCGTGGTCGTGGGCGCAAAAACTTTGCCAGGTGAATCTACCAAACCATGATTTGGTGTACCCTGTACATGTGGCTGTCAAGTTGGGCGACCTGAAGATGCTTCGGCGCCTGGTGTCCGCGGGCGCCACTGTGTGTTTCGGCAGAGACGGTGAGGGCCCGCTTCGTGTGGTAAGAAACAACGGTAAACTGAGGACTGGCAGACGGGAAAGTTCCACTTCTATACCAGGGGCCTCACAAATCGTATCAAATCATCAAAGACCTGGTTTCCCCTAATTACGCAACAAACAAAACATGTCGACATGTAAAACCACTCAGTCTTTCATGGGTTGGAGGGCCACGGTCTCTTTTTTGGTGGGGTCGCCAGGGGATCACATAAACCACGGAACAGTCTTTCATGGGTTGGGCCAGGTCAGTCTCTTGTAGATGGTAAGGTCAGAGTCTCACGGGTCGCCTGGTGGTCACATGACTTCTGAAAACCACCGCTCGAGTCGCTCGAGCTCGGTGTGGAACCGATCCAAAACCCCAAATCCGAAACCCCAAACCGCCCCAGTCGCCGCGGAATTCGCGGATGGAGTGATGGACGCGATGAAACGCCTTCCACTTGGATCGGAAATCCGAAGAGTCACACCTCCGTCCTTGGAACAAAGGTCCGTCCATGTGGTTCAGTGGTTCAGTGGTACAGCCTGGTTCTTTCTTGACCGTTGTCCGAATACCAAACAGGCTTGGTTTGCCAAACAGGTGGTTTTTCATCTTTTATTTCAGAGAGTGTAGATGAATTGTCCTTCCAGTTGTTTCTTCCTGAAATCGTTGGTTTGACTGTGGTGTGGAGGTCACACCGCACCTCCATGCGCCATGTGTTATTTTTACTTTGTTTTTTTCCCGCACGTGTGTGATGATTTGGTGGCTCTCGTTGAAGTTTCTCAGGCACCAGAAGACCTCGAAGGGGCTCTTGCCAATGGACTTCGTCACCGCCTACTGTGGGCCTGAGCAGCAGCTCCTCGGTGGCGGGAGCAAGCACAGGCTGAAAAAAACCTGTCAGGCTGTCAGATTCGGCACAACAAGATGAGACGACTTCAGCATGTTCCTGGAAATTAGGGGTTCCTAGTTATTTTTCTGTGGGTGGCCCAGCACAGAGCGAAGCCGATCGAGTTGTTGGAGGGTCACCAAGGGCAGAAACCTCCATTTTCGACTCCAGTGTGTAGACCATGTTTATCCGTGGAAAACCAGCTGGCAGGGACCTGCCCACAAACACACTTGGAATCCTGGAAATGGCCACCGCCTACTCGAGCTATAGTACTTTAAGGTTTCGATACACTCCCAAAACCAAAAAAAACGGACAATGGACCTTCTGGCTGGA